GGGTTGGAGCCGCCCGAGAGAGCCAAGTGGAAGCGGCCGGTGCGGGCCACAGCGCTGCTGGCCGCCCTCTCCATGTCGGAAGCCAGCTGGGAAACCAGCTCCTCGGCCCACGCCGACACCAGCGGGCTCTGCCGATACTTGGCCTGGATCGTTTTGTAGTCGCTTGGCGTTGGCCCCTCAGGATGCAGAAGCTCTACGGGCTCCGCCAGTGCAAATGCCAAGTCCCCACCGACCATTTCAAAGTCTAAGAGGTGCTGGTTCTCCACACCCCCAGGGTAGAGGCGTGGCGACTGGTGGGATATGCTGTCCAGCAGCGGCGTCCAGAACTCCCAGGACGCCAGCAGGTTCTCGATGGTGATGAAGGAGTCCTTTCTGCCATGGTAGATGCTGGAGATGAGGACAGAATACGCATCCCTCTCCTTCACGGGCTTGTACACATAGTAATCAGACAGCGGTTGGCCAAAAACATGCAGCTCTGGCTGAACTGCTGCTTCTTTCCAGCTGCCTTCTGGCATGATGGGCTTGAAGAGGTTCCTGCTCACCAGCACGGCGGGAGTGTTGAGCGCGCCGTGCCCAATGTAGAAGATGATCTGCTTGGCTTTACACTGGCTGGAGCCTGCATCCCTCAGGGTCCCGCTCTGAGGGCAGTAGGCCCGGTTCTTGAAGAGGACCCGGACGTAACCTACCCGCTCGTCCAGAGCTTTCCCAGAAGCGAGCAGGAAGGGGACCCCTTCCCAGCGCAGGCTGTCGCTGTGAATCAGCACACCTGGAACGACACAGTGACCTCAGCTACAGAATATAACCTGGAGCCTCAGCAACCTGCAAAAATGAGGGAATCTAAACTGGCTGCTTCCTGCGGAAATCTGGGCATCCACAGGGTCTCTTGCTCCACATGGAGCCCTTTTGTGACTTCTCTGGACTAACTGCTCTGCTTCCCCTCAGGTACCCTTCTCAATGGACCTCCTTTCCTCTTGCACAAAACCAACTTCTGAGCATGAATATCATTCAGCCAAACCCTCTGAGGTTCAGAAAATGCAGCGTGGCCAGGGGCGACCCACAGAGAACTCCCAACACTTGACCCTTCAGGTGCAGAGAGCAACCAGCCTTTATGAAAAGGCAAGGGAGTTTGCAGGCCAATCCTAAAAATAACGCACTGATCTTAGCAAGGATAATGCAACCTGGCCCTTTTGCAGTGCTCCCATTTGGTGTGATCATTAGCTAACGAACACATTATTATGCTGCTACAGCTCCCCGTTATGAGGCTGCTGGATGCCTGGAGACATCCCCGTCAGCAGCGAGGTTCAGAGTCACGGAGCTGCAATCAGAACTGGGACTCCCATCTCCTGCACTCCTGGCTCCAGATGGCACCGCTGGAGCAAAATCCAAACTCCCACCTGCAAAGGTTGGTGTCGTGCTCACGTAGCCCTGGTCCTGCTGCAGTTCCTCGCGCACTTGGCCGGCGTAGCCCTCGTACTGACCCAGCACGGCGCTGCTCCTCTCCAGGCCGCGCAGGGCCTGGAAGGCCTCCAGCTTGCGCTGCAGAACCTCCCCGGCGCTGCTCACGTTGCTGGGGAGCTCCATGGCGAGGAACATGAGCGCCTCGGTGAGGTGGTTCTGCAGCACGTCCCGGATCACTCCGTACTCCTCGTAGAAGCTGGTGCGGCCTGAGGAGGAGGTGAGATGCTGGTAACGGGAGCCCTTTTCCTGCAGCCCTTTCCTCTGCACATATAATGTTTGTGCCAAGCAGAGCAAACACAGGACCAAAGCAGTTCACCTTTCCTCCTCTCCTGGCTCAGAATGAGTCTAACAAACCTTTCAGCTCCTTGCACAGGGGGTTCCCAAATGTCTCTACTACTAAAATAAAGGTAAAAGTTTCCCAAGGAACTACCTGTCCTTCATAGAGCAGAATATATTCCTCCTCCTGGGTGTTAAAACAAAATCACTTGCAAAAAAAAAATTCTGCTTCTCTCTCCCTGCCTGACTTCTCCCTGGCATGGGAAGAAGGGGAGAAGGACAGTGTCCTTATAAAGAAAATGACTCAGATGCCTTTCCTTAGTCCACCAGCAGCAGGCTGCACACTGCAGACCACATCGTGACCAAAGGCTTCCCCTATTGATTGATACATTTATCTCTCTTGCTCTAATCCAAAGGCACATTCATTAATGTAATCAATGCTGCAGACTTGCTGGGAGCCAAGCTGCCAGCTTAAGCCATACAGGAGGGGACAAAAAAAAAAAAAAAAAAAAAAAAAAAAGCATCAAATGAAAAATTACCAAGTTTGCAGAGGGAAGGGGTGCAGCAGGGGCTACACAGAGCCTGCATGTTCTCCCTAAACATCCTTGCAGGGCTTTCTTCCCCCAGGAATGGGCCTGGCTGAGGTCCGGGCTGCCAAGCGAAGGATCACTCAGAGCTTAGTCAAGTTGCATTAATTAATACATATATATTATTTTTGGGGGGAGGAAGGCACAAGAGGAGGTAAAAGGAGCAGAGAAGCAATCCTGATGTTGCAGAACCGAGGGTACCCGACAACAAGAACTGCTGCGGGCGGCAGTCCTGCGTTATGCTGAGCACTGCAGAGCAGCTGCTGCAGCATTGCAGGGAGGATTGCAGCCGTGCCCTTGAGCAGGAGACCCGTGCAAGCAGCGCTGCGCTCGCCTTGCTCCCTCTGCAAGGCTCTTGCTACAGAGACAGGGGAAGGGGGACGAGCGGAACACGGGGACGGACGCTCAGGTTGACCTGGGCACCGCGACTGACGCTCTAACCAGCCAACATAAGCAGCATTCAAGCAAAAGGTGAAAGAGCATCTTCCCAAGAACAGCACAAGTGAACGCTCAGTGCAAGCTGCGTAGCTAACAGGACAGGAATACAAAAGCAACAGCACTAACAACTGCCAGACTACTGCACCACTGAACTCAGGTGGGCTTAGATGGCATCGAGTGCCAAAGAGCTCCCTCTCCTCATTCAGCTGCCCCTTTTTGTTTCTGCACCAGCAGCTCTTCAAGAACCATTTTCAGGTAGTCAATGCACCAGCCAGCTCTCCTCAGCCGCTCAGCCTGCTGCTGCCTCACTAACCTTTAGCATCCACAGTCTCTTTCAGAACAATCTCCACTCTTTCTACGTGATGCCGGTTCCAAATTGGATCCAGAAACTGTCGGTTCTGGTCTCGAAAGGGCAGGATATGGGCCACAGCCTGCAAAGGGGGGAAAATAAATAAATAAATAAACCAAAGTTTCCACAGAAAGTCACAGGATTTCTACAGTGTCTCTGCCTCATCGCTCCCTCCAACACTGGGATGTGTCCAGCTCTGGGGTGCTAACAGACGTGCTGCTCAGGGGAGAGGAGAGCGGGTGAGAGGGGGAGAAAACCAGCAAGACAGCACAGGAGGGTCCCCAATGCTCATGCAGAACAGACATTAAAGGTCCCGCTGAAGCATTTTGAGGTCTCATGTGCAAAAGACTGAAATGCAAAGCACAAGGCACTCAGTTTATATTCATCAGTGAACAAAGGGCCAAGTCAGACTGTGCTGGGATGAATGTATAGCTCCAAAGCAGTGAGATAAACATCTGATTTCATGTATATCACTAAAGACACCTGCTCTTGCTGTGAAAAAGAAAAAAATCCCCCTTTTTAGCAGAGATGTTGTCGTTGTAGCTGGACATGCACCTTTCTGAGCAAAACCTGGCCATGGTGCCACGGCGGGAAGGGGCCGCTTTCAAAATGTGATGTCGCATTCATCCGAAACAAGGGTTGCACGTCCTTGAGCACGTTCCCTCTGGGACATTGCAGATGCGCGTCCTAAGCTGTCCCTGCAGCAGCCAGTCCTCCATGCCCTGAGCAGAGCACATGGCAGGAGGAAACCTTCTCCTAAGCATCCTGGAAAACTAAAATCCCGTCAGCTCCATATCACACCAAAATTAAAAGCTGCTTCTAAAAGACAGTGCAAGTAGAGATGGAATGGGAAGGGAGGACTGTAATAGGGAAAAGGGTTGCTTATTCAGGGAAATCAAAGCCCTGACCTTGGTGCAAAGATCAGATGAATTCTGCATCTCTCCCTCACGCACACACCCCTACACCTGGTCTTCCCTCCAGAGAGGGGACCTTTGCCACGCTAAAGGGAGAAGGTCCTGCCTTGGTCCACGTATTTCCTCCCCTCTGCAAGGGGACAGAGGGCAGCACCGCAGGGAAGAACGGAGCCCATCACCGCAAGGTTGTGCAGCCTCAGCTGGGACTAAGGGTCTGGTTATGTCTATAGCAAAAGGAGCTTTGGGAGATCACCTGCATGGATTCAGGATGGGATATGGACACCCTCATGGACCAGAAGCTGAAGGCTACAAACAGCCTGAGCAAACAACAGTGGGTACAGAGTGCTGCTTCAAGAGGAATTCACTCAACCTGCAGGTCCTGCAGCCAGGCAGGAACCAAGTTTGTGTGCAGGCTGGGAAGCAGCAGGGAGCACCTCCGTCCCCAAAACCTCATGCCCATCTCTGGGCCAGGCTTATAAGAAAACTCTCTCCTGACTGCCAGCACTTTCAGATAGGAGAAGAGCCAACCAAGCAGCTGCAGGTAACATCCCTGGGGCTCCAGCTCTCTCCTTGAATCCACACCTGATGTCCAACACTCCTCCAGCCCCACAGTGACGTGCTGCAAGGTGCTCACCTGCTTGCCCAGGTAGTGGTCCACCCGGTACATCTCCTCCTCCCTGAAGAAGCTGGTAAGCTCCATAGCCAGCTGCCGGGCTGACTCCAGGTCATGGCCAAAGGGTTTCTCCAGCACGACCCGCAGCCAGGCTCCCGGGGGAGGCCGGCAGCTGCTGTTGATGTGGCGGGGGAAGTCCGGGTGAGGCAAAAGGGGGGCGGGAAATGGAAGCTGTGGCCGCTGCTCACGTGGTCCCGGTAGAGCTGGAACAGGCCCTGCCACAAGTACTTCTTGGCCAAGTCCCCCGTGGCCCCCAGCAGGATCACGGAGATGTGGCCTTGGGGCTCCTCAGCCAGGGCTCCCAGGAACAGCACCGTGCACATGACTGTCCTCAGCATCTTGGACACAGGAGGTGGACCCCGGAACACTAATGGAGAGAATTAAGGAGGAAAAGCTACCAATGCATGTTATAACACCACCAACCAAGCTACCTGCTCTCCTACGGCAGCAGACCCAGGATTTCCTACTTGGATGCTTTTCCCAAGTCTCTCCTCCCTGCTAGGATTTGAACAGCAGTAGTAACTGGGGCTCTTGAAAAGACTGCAGCCTCCTCTTGCAAACCGAGGAGCGAAGGACAACACGTGTCTCCACAAGCACTACCCTGCGGACGGGTTGAAAAGGGGGCATCAGTGCCCTTAGACTGGGAAACTGAAATCTGTTTTAATGCGGATTTCAGAGCTGGCTACAAATGAACACACGTGCCGCCAACTTCAGGCTGCAGTTTTCAATAACCTCCTGTTTGGGACTTTGCTCTGTGCTATCTTTCATGTCAATATTGTCACAACAGCTCAAAGGCAAGCACTGGTAGCGCCAGTTTGCAGGCCCTTCTTTATTACGCCACACATTAATGATTCCTGAGCACCTCCATTCCCAGAAACATGGAGAATCAGGCTCTGACAAGCTACTAGGAGCCAAATGGTCTGAAAAAACAACATGGAAGAGGACTTTTAGTCCTCAAAATCGAGTCTATGTGGTTAGAAGACAGTGCTGAGTTTGGGCTCTATCTGCTGCAACTTTCCATCACTAAAGTGCAGGTGTCAGCACTGGTTCTGGCCTTCACCATCCAGCATCTGCTCAGATCACTGCAGCCAGTGACAGCTGGTGTCCCCAACCAAAACCCCCTCTATTTCCTCTTTTATATTCTTGTTTCTCTAATCTAAAAGGAAGCTGCTTTTAAGAAAAATACTTAGTTCTTACTACCCAGAAACACAGCAATAACTTTAGACCCCAAGAGACAGAATCCAGAACAAGAAGGTAATAAATGATTTTTTACTGTTCTCAATACAACAAGTATTGCTTCAGAAGCTCATAGATCACATAGCACCCTCTCTTCATTTTGTTTTCTAGAGTTGCATTCAGCTGGAGTGTCTCAGTATATTTGAGATAATTAACATTAAAAACACTTGCTGCTGTGATGGATTTAAACCTTTAACTTTACCTGTGTGGGGAAATATTCCCATAGACATGGATACAGGGAGTAAAGATGTTTTATGTCAGTATGTCAGTATATTGCTTCTTCATGGAGGGGCAACTCTAGCCTCAGTAGATTTTGCACTGGTTTGATTATACCATGGTAGGAAGGAAGTTTCACCAGAGTTTGATTGAGAAATGGATCCTGGTGAGCACCCAAGCACCCTTCAGTGGGCAGACAGAAGACAAAAAGGTGTCTCCTTGGGCTCATTCATTCACCTTTGGGTACAAAATGCCCCCCTAGTTCCCTTGCTCCACAGCTATTACTGCACATGGTCTAACAAAATCCCATGTTTCTCCCCAGCAGACTCACCTGGGCAATGCAGCAGCTCTGCAGACACAGCAGTGGCAAAAGCACCTCGAGATGTGTCTTCTCCAAAGCCCTCTCTTCACCTGCAACCAAGTGACTATCCAGCAAACTCTCCAGTCAACAGTCAGGCAAACAAGTGGCTGCAAATGAGATAAGGCAGCTCATCCCCTGTCTGGCAAATGGGAGGAAACACCAGAGCTGAACCTCCCATTCCCAGCAGAGGAAAACTGAGCATTCCCATGCCAGCCACAGCCAGCAGGTCCCAGCTCCCAGCCCACTCATGCATCCTGGGAAAAGCCTTTTACTGGAAGCAGGGAAGAGCAGTTGCTTTTCACTCATGAAAGGAAGGAGAGCAGCATTAAAATCTTAGCTTCCAGGAAATGTGAAACACCTGCAGCAAACCCCTCTCCCAAAGCACCTTCCTGCCAACTCCACTGCTTTCCTCAAGCCCATGCTGAAGGTCTGCAAGGGAGATCATGGTTTGGTTCTCCTTCCCCCACTATGGGATTTATATATTTGCATTATATTTAATGCAGATGACAAAGTTACACAGTGTGACAAAACAATATTGACATTTGTATAAGCAACCTTCATCCAGGAAGAGGCTGCAGCTCCTGCCACGTTGTGCAGAGACCTCAGGTAGGGATGGGAAGATGGGTGGGTCAATGTTTTTCCATTTGCCCAAGGAAGGGAACAAATTAGCCACAAAAAAATCCTGTCAGATGCAGCTACGCAATCATACTTATTTACAAGCCAACTGAAAACTAGTTTCACAATACCCCCAATTGCAAAATACTGTGCTACACTGCCCGGAATAAGCACAGTGAACCCAGAGCTGTTTGCTTACTGCTTTCGCATCAGATAATCAGCAGTATCCACGTTAAAAAATTAGAATCTTTAAAAATCCTCTAAGCAGACAGAGCAAAATTACTCCATCAGGCTTGGGGAAAAAGACTCCAAAGACACCAACACGCTGGCAATGGCATCGCTGAGGGGCTTGTGCCTTGCTGCAAGGCCAGCCCGTGCCACCAGGGACCCCAGCGGCTCCTCGCCACCTTCCCAGGCTCCTTCTCCTCTGGAAGTCCCAGAGCATGGAAGAGGCGCGTGGGATTTGAGGGATGCCCCAGGTTGTGCACGGAGGGAAACGGCAGCAGCACAAGATGAACTGGGACAAGACGAGTCTACAGGTGTCAACGTGCAGGAGTTAGCAAGAGGCCGGGCTATAAATACAGAGGCATTTTGACAGCAGCAGGAGTCTCGGGAGGGCACATTTCACACGGGAGGAAGCCGGTGCTGGGTCTGGTTTGCAGTGCACGAACACGGGGCTCGACAGAAACGAGCGGGTCCCTTCCCCGGCCACCGCAGGAGCCCCGGCCACGCAGGGCAAGGCACGGGAAAGCAATGCAAAGAGAGGCTGGAAAAGCAATGGAAAGCGAGGCACAGCACTGGCAAGAGTAATGCAAAAAATAAATAAAATAAAAACGGGAAAGCAATGCAAAGCAAAGCGCCGTAAAGCAATGCAAGGCCATGCAAGCCGCAGCACCGGCGCAGGCCGCCTCTTCCGGTCTGCGACGTGCAGCGAGACTGAGCCAAGACAAAGCA